GGTGTGGGGTTTATTTGTCTAGGTAAACTGAAATGAACAAGTTTAACCGAGTGAACTCTCAAGCTGGGCTAGGTCTTGCGTCCGTGAATTACAAGGTCAACTTGCTGGGTTTATCCTAGTTTAATAAATATCATTTACGTGTACACAGTAACAGTTTTGATGCTAACGAATCCATACACAATCCTTACCACCACCGACTCAATGGTGACGGTAGTGGGTTTAGGTAAGAAAAAAGCATGGTGATAGGAAGTGGTGGACCAACAAAGCAACAACCAGGTGACTGCTGCTGGAAGAAAACTGGGCCTCACCTGGTGTCACCAAATCTCCATCTTTTTTTTTATTTTATCAAATATCCCATGCAAAACCGCGTATCATAATTTGTGTCTGTGCATGTCATTGATCACACTCAATTCATTATATTTGTCCAACTGGCCACAGCTGCAATGAACCTTCCTACGCACTTCCTTCCTTTCAATGCACAACTCATCAGTTACCACGACTTGTACTATAAATTCCCACCAAGACATGCACAATACACATCTCCTCACTTCCAAACAACTTGCTAAACTGCATTTCATTGTATCCATGGCTTTTCTGTTTGCTTCTTCAAGTGTTCCGATGTTATTGTTCTTGGTCTCGTTTACAATCAGTTGTTTGATGGGGTCATCTCTTGGTAACTTCTACCAAAACTTTGATATTACATGGGGAGATGGCCGTGCTAAGATACTCAACAATGGTGAGCTTCTTACTCTCAATCTTGACAAAGCTTCTGGCTCAGGGTTCCAATCCAAGAACGAGTATTTATTCGGAAAGATTGATATGCATCTCAAGCTTGTCCCTGGCAACTCCGCTGGCACTGTAACTGCCTATTATGTAAGTTTTCCTGATATTAATTAATTACTGTTTTGATTAAGAAAGTTTAACATATGCTCTTAGTATTAATCTGTATTTTTATATTTTCAGTTATCATCAAAAGGGTCAACATGGGATGAGATAGACTTCGAGTTCTTGGGGAACTTGAGTGGCGATCCTTACATTCTCCATACCAATGTGTTTAGCCAAGGCAAAGGCAACAGGGAGCAACAATTTTACCTCTGGTTTGATCCAACTACTGATTTCCATACCTATTCCATCCTTTGGAACCCACAAAGAATCATGTAAGCTAGCACTGCTACTTCCCATAACTAAATCCATAGCTACCAAGCTAATTTAGTGATCAAAATTAATGATTTCTTGTAACATTTTCTTCTCTTTTGTACCAGTTTCTCTGTAGATGGCACCCCTATTAGAGAATTCAAGAACATGGAATCAAGAGGTGTTCCATTCCCAAAGAATCAGCCAATGAGAATTTACTCTAGTTTATGGAATGCAGATGACTGGGCTACAAGAGGTGGCTTGGTGAAGACTGATTGGTCACAAGCTCCTTTTACTGCCTCCTATAGGAACTTCAATGCTAAGGATGCTTGTGTCTGGTCCAATGGTGCATCTTCTTGTGGTACAAATGCCTCCGCTGCTGCAGCCTCCTCCAACACCAACGCTTGGCTTTCAGAAGAACTTGGTTCAACAAGTCAAGAGAGGCTAGAATGGGTAAAAAAAAACTACATGATATACAATTACTGCACAGACGCTAAGAGGTTTCCTCAAGGACTTCCTCCAGAATGCAGCACTTCTTAAAAGGAAGGAGATACAGTCACACAGCAGGACATAGATTATAGTACTTGAATTCTTTCATTCTTTTTTTTTTTTCCTCGTGCAAATTACAGATCAATGTATGTGTGAATGTACGGTTTTTTAATTGAAATGTTTTCCAATAATATGTGTTGAAGTAAACAAGTTGTATTATATTATCCCAAACTTTGTATTTCACATTTTTTTCTCCTATGTAGTTAGCTATGGACAATGGACAATGATCTTGTTTACTTTTACATTTTTAAAAAAATTAATTTTTTAATTTTAAATTATTTTTTGTAGTGTTTTCAAGTAATTATAATATTCTAATATTAAAAATATTTTTTTAAAAAATAATATTTTGATATAATTTTAAATAAATTTAAAAAATAATTATTACCACAACACCAAATAAACTTTATATAAATAAAATAGCCTCATGAATATCCAAAACAAAAAAACTTAACTTTCAGACCTGAAACCTTCTTAATTGAAATATCAAGCACTGTAATGGTTTTTTTGGAATTTGAAAATATAATTGTAGTTGTTTTTTTTTAAAAAAATTAGAAATGTATTAAAATAATATTTTATTTATTTTATTTTTTAAAAATTATTTTTAATATCAATACATTAAAACTATATAAAAATACTAAAAAACAAATAAATTTTTTTAAAATATTTTTAAATCATCAAAACAAAGAAACAACAACATTGTTTTTGTCCTAAAGCAAATGACTTGAGAAAATGAGGGGTTTGGTAAGAGAGAGAGAGTTGGTGTGAGCTAGGAAAATGGGCTTGGAGCAATAATTAAGTCAGCATCGAAGCTTATTTTGTGATCATATTCACTGATGGGCTGTCACAATGCAGAGCATAGTTTTCACAACATCCACCTAGCTTTAAGGGTTTGGGTTCATGAGTTGTTAAATCAAATTCCAGAACAACCTCATTTCACTGTTTTTTTTCTTAACTAAATCTATATCTATCTTGTTTTGGACATTATTTTTTTATAAAAAAATCCGAAACTACATAAACAACTTTATAATTAGCTGAATGAATGAAAGGTTCAAATTTTATTATTTTCTGGGATAAATTACACCCATAAGATCGATTTGTGTGTAAGATTGAGCTAGAGAAGAGTTGCTAGCATGCAACGAACAATATTATAGAGCAATGACAACAACATCAATGCGGTATTTCATGCCCAGTGACTAAGGCCATGCTAATCAGAATCCTCATTTGCCTGTTCCTATCAGCCAAGGGATTTGGAGTTGGCGGTGTGCTCAAACGAGCTTCACAGTTGGCTTGTGTTCTTGGTATATCATGTTCAACCTTAAGCATACCAGCATAATCTTTCCTGTTAAAATACTGCAAGCCAGTCTCGAAAGACGACTTCACCGTACCATAAGCACTCGCACATGCCATATAAGCACCCTTCGTTTCAGGGTTAGTTGTGTTCTTCACGAGAAGCACGATATAATCATAGGTGTTGCTTGCGTTTTTTATTGCCACGTCTATTGCTATTGCTGTGAGGCCAACATAGTCTGTTGCAGGGGTTTTCATGTTTTCATGGAATGCCTCGTTGCAGAAACCGTACTCCTCCATCTGGCGACACACTCTGTCGATTAAATCTTGGGTGCTTTGGGCTTCACTTAAGGTAGGGTTGGTCAAGAGGAAGATGACTAGAACGGGAAAAACAGAGGAGAAACATTGAGAAAATGCCATCTTTCTGCTTTTAAAACAAGAATACAATGATGTGATATAATAAAAGAGATTGTGATGATCATATATATAAATTCTCATGGTGGGAAATTAATATAGTGAAAAATAAGATCTAAGAGTTTCAAAAATCTTGCAAGTAAAGGAAAAAGGAAAGCATGATCAAGCCCCATATGTCAGAGAAATTATTTGGCCAACACTTGGTTAATCAAATCATAAACTATAAAATATAAATAATATCTATGGTTATAAGAAAGAAGATATTCTTACAAAGAAGGAGAGAGAAAGCGATTTTAATTCCAAATATATGGTTATGGAGATATTGAAGGCAATATTCCCTTTAATGTGTTTGTAATATTGTTATTTATGTGATGTTAGTGGATATCTATTATATTAATGTGGTTATATGTTTATATACACAACATATGAATAGCATTGCCGTTTTTTAATTCTCATGTGACTCTATGTTGAATTATTTTTCAAGATAGTGTAGATTATTTTCTTAAAATAAAAGAAACAGGACATGTCATTTCTGTTTTGAAATTAATATAATTTATTGGATGAATAAATTTATTTTATTTTTTTTTCTTGTAATTTAAAATAGTATTTAATTACTATCTCGAGATAGAAACAAAACCAATAAAAATAAGATAAGATAAGATAACACATACACACACACACACACACATATATATATATATATATATATATAAATAACATGTTTTCCTTATCTTTTACTTTAAAATGATATAAATTCACTTTAAAATTATAATATATATATATATATATATATATATATATATATATTATGTCACTATCTTTGACTCTCTCATAAAACTTTATTTTTTTATTTTTATCATCTAATTGACTGAGTAGTGGAGTTTTCGTTGATTCTTTTAGGTTCAATTAGTTTGAGGTATGTTTAAAATTAATCAGGTGAGTTAATTCGGCCTTATATTTACATTTTAGCCTCTAAATTTAAAGTTTTAATCTTTTATTATTTTGGTTTCAAACTGTTTTTAAGTGTTTTCATGTATTCGTTGTAAGTTCTGGTGTTGTTCCTATTAGTGATCCTTAGTAGTCTCCAGTTCTATATATATTTGTTTTTTGCTCTGTTTTTCCAGGTAAATGGGATAATATTTAATATGTATGTGATACAAATAGATATGTATATTTATTATATGACAACCACAACTAGTTATTTTTTTGAATATTTACATATATTGCTCTATTTTCTAAGTATTCATCAATTCTTGAATTTACATTCGCATTTAGTTGAATTAAATTCTATTCAATATGATATTCATTTGCTTTGATAAATATATGAATATCTGTTATGTCTTGATATTAGAATCTTGTCATGAACTCTATATTAGCATAAAGTAGTTAATTTATATATAAATTGTATTCTATATACCTAACTAGTAAGAAATGCATTAATATGTGACGACTAATCCTTTCATAGTGATCGGGGCTACAAACTTCATTTGTTATTAGAATCTTAGGGCTTTGTATGTTATCTAATTCTATGGTTTTGTCTTATCTCTAACATGTATTTTTTCACTAAATTAATTGACTCACTCCTTTACTTTTATATTATTTTCATGTCTTTAGATTTGATTAGCAAGTTGACTTTGTTGATCATTCTAACTTCGTTTTTTATCAGTATGCCTTTCTTTTTTCCTCGAGATTTTTATTTTAGTTTTGATTTAATATCTTAAATGCTCCACCATAACATTTTTTTATTTGAAGTAATTTGGTTAGATATATTATAATAAATATTATGGATTATGATTTGTTTGTTTTGAAGGATACATTGAAAGTTTATAAAATGCTAAATAATTTTATAAAATTTATTTTATGATATATATGTTATGAGATTTAATATAGGTGTGGTGTACTCAAGGCATTGCTCCTGTATTTCTAGTCATTAACCTAGGATTTGAGTTGTAATAGACCAAGTTTGTCTCCCAAAAAGGTTTACGATGTATTTTACAGGTCACAAAACTAACCTAGATTAAGAAACAAAATCAAAATCCCCAAACATAAAAGTAAAATAACAAGAAATCCAAAAATAAACAAGAAATTTGAGATAATCAAGGAAAAATAACAAAATTGGTCTAGAAGGTAACTTTTAAGCTTAATTTTAGGAGATCCAATAATTTGATAACCAATGAAATGGATTTTCATTATAAAAAAAATATCTTGTCATAACCCAATTTTTTTACTTCTATTTAATTTATATAAAAAGAAAAAAGAAAAAACAACAAAAAAAATATATAGTAATAAAAATGAGGAATAAATTAAAATTTTAACCAAGACAACATAAATTGAAAGTTTAAGGACTTAATTGAACTTGAAATTGTTTAATTAATGAAATCAAGGACCCAATTTTTCAATGACAGAAGTTCAGAGGCCAAGTTAAAAATATTCATTTCTAGATATAAACATCATTGTTTCTTAATCCACTATTCTCCACCTTCTTCCTCGCCCAAGAGAGACCGGTTCAGCAGGAAATTTGTAACTGCAGATCGTGGGACACGATGTAGACCAAGTCCCTAATTTGTATTTTTCTCAAGCACGTGTGAATGAACATAGCTCACTTCCAAGATCATTACCATATTCTCTGGCTTTATAAAAGCGAGAGAAAGAACAAACAAAAAAGGAGGACAAGCAGGAGGACACGCAGATGAAGACAAAGAAAAAAAGAGAAGACCGAAAGAAAAATAAATGAGAAAAATGGATAAAAAAATACACAGAGAAGAGAGAGAGAGGCAAAGGGGTGACATATAGACGAGGATTAGCCCTACCATTGTCTTCGTCCCCGTGAAAAAAGAACAGCTTAGAACCAAAGACGATTGACAACTGGCATAACCATTGTCTACATTCCTTCATCTCAAGAATAGGAGCAACAAAATATAAAATCAGAAGCAAAGTAGATGAAAATCCAGAGAACAACACCAATGAACAAAAACGCAGAGATGAGAACCAATATTGACCATCATCTTCATAATCTCCAGCAACCAATAACGAGTGAATAGGGGTGCAAGAGACAAACAAAGGGGAGAGCATGAACAAAACCAAAAAAAAAAAAACAAAAGGGGCAAGTAGAAGGATAGATAGAGATTATACAAAGAGATAAAGAGAAAACAAGGAAACTAGAATAAAAAAGGAGAAACCAGAGAATACGAACAAAGGAAACAGAGCCATAAAAAAGAACAATCAGAGAGAAAACAGACGAAAAGAGAAATAGGGAGAGCATCATCCAATATACCATCATCTTCGACTTCGTTCCCAGCTACACAGGTAAGCTTTTGTTTTCCCTGCCTTTAGAAATATAATTGTCTTGTCACTACGCAAAGCATGCGTGAATAATTCATGCATGCATGCACAATGACTAGCTGAGTCACTGGTTTGAACCAGTGACCAGGCTAGGTCCGGCCTTTATTTTAGTTCTTATATATATATATATATATATATATATAGTCAAACAAGCCTTTTTTATATATGAAAAAAAATCCAAAAATATTTTAGGTCCTCGTGAATTTATTTGTAGGTTCTTTGTATTTTTTAGGTATTTCGCTGTATAATTAATTTGTGAATTTTTTACTGTGAAATGCAAATCTAGTTTTTTTTAAGGCAAAAAATAAAAATATAAAATATAAAAATTATATGCATACATTAAACATAAATTTATTTTATTGGTTTATTCATTGACGCTAGAGTCAAGAATAAAAATACTGATTTAAATTTATTTTATTTTTTTAGCTATATAATATTTACCAATGCTAGAGTTGGAAGTATATGTAGTTGAATATTCATTGATGTCAAAGTTAAGAATATTACAAGCAAACTATCATAGCATAATCCGACAAACTTTTAGTAATTTAAAACAAAATCATCAATGCAATTTGTCATAAATAGGATGTTTAGGGGGTGATAATATCTTTCTTTTTATATAATGAATCTCATATAATATAATTTTTGTTGACCAGTTAGAGTTCCTAATAACTATAATACTAGATGGCGACTCCTTAAACAAGATTATTTCCCATCAAAAAATAAAATGCCAAAAATATATTTTTTCTATGAAAAAAAATTCTAGATTGTCGTGATATTAGGTGCGATAAAGCTAAATAATTTCTTGTAACGATTTGATCTTTATCCAACAATAAAATCTCATATTATTATCATTTTAAATCATTATTCTAGTTAACTCGATCAGAACTTTTATTGGGCCTAGATTTCTGTTTTCATCAAAGCATATATTCTAGTTCATTAATATAATTTATTTAAAGAAGATACTCCATAGAACTCTCAAATTTCTGCAAAGCCGACTACATTGTTATCGCTTTGTAATTCTCTGCATGTGTTATAGTGGTGAAGGCAGTGCAAGTTATCCCGCCACTTATCCATGATACCTTCGACACCCTAGTTTCTGCAAACAAATTCATCACGGTCATTCTTTGTCATAATCTTCAACACCCTAGTTTCTGCAAACAAATTCATCATGGTCATTCTTTGTCATAATCACTTCATTAGAACTGGATTATCTAACTTCTAACTATTCTATAATTCCTTAATGTGAAAAAATTCCATTATCAAATCCATTTTACATGTTTGCATTGCTTTAAAAAGAAAAAAGAATGCATCAGTATTATGCTGACAGAAATTCACGACAGGTAAAGGGACTCATTGAGCTTTCCATTTCCAGATATGTCAAGCATTTCCTTCATCATTTTCTTTTGTATTCTAGACAAGTTCAAATACCTTTTTGGAAATTTAAATAATCATCCCATTGTTGTACTGGCAATAATGGGCATGCAAATTTGTGCAATAACTGAAGAAATCACTTGACTTTGATTAAGCCCGTAAGCAATCATAGGACACCAAGAGGAAAATTAAAACTCTATGGTGTTCTATGTTTGATATTTTTTTCATTAAGAAAATATTAATGCAGACAAGAAAAATATTTAGTTTTCAGAATCTTTATTCCCCAATAAGAATGTACAGCTAGGCAGGCAGCCTGCCATATTAATTATTTAGAAATCAGGCAACAAATAATTCGGTTTAGCTCATTAGTTAAAACAATTTTATATACTGCTTTCACGTAATTAATTGCAGGGATACGGAAATCTGGACGAATGTTGATTGATGAACATCTGCAGAAGACAGTGTTTCCTTGTTATCGGCAAATTTCATAGAAATAACAGTAGGCTTTTCAGGAACCATGCAGTTCATAAACATAGATCCCGTTACACTTGTAGCAATTAGCACTTAATGGCCTATGATGTTGCAGAAGGCTAATTCCATTGCTGAGTTTTATCAGCAGCAGATTTAATTTTATCTGCAACAAACTAGTTAGTTGCTAATAGGCTCCTTTTTTAATAATGGAGCATGTATACACCGAAAAACATGTTCTTATATTACTAGACGAGGGATAAAAGCTCCCCACAGATAAATAATGTTCGTCAAGCAAGCAAACTATGGACTAATAATTACTACTAATAGCGAGCTCCACACAATCCATAAGCTTTAAGCAGCGGGGGGGGCGGTGAAGTGGAGATCAACACCTGCCTCATATAGAGCCTCCAAGATTGGTTGCAGTTCAGATCCAGAGGAAGCAACCACGGTGTTCTTGTGATCCAAGGACTCGTCATTGTAAATGTCCCACCATTTCTGGACCAGCATCTTGATGTCTTCCCTGTCCATGTTTTCTTCTTTTCCTGTGTACCGCCACGGTTTAGACCCCTGCATACAAATATATGTGTAACGCCATTAGAATATACACCAGGACATGATTAAAGTAAGAATTAAATAAAATTATTATATAATTAAGAGCAGGATAAATACTTACAGCAGCACAATAATGGACAACTTTCACTTTGTCAAGGTTAATGTTCTCGGGATGGCGCCATAACAGGGCCAGTTCAAGGTTGTAAGCCGAAGGAATTGGCTTGTAAACATCCCTGAAAAACATGTTCAAGAAGTCCTGCCAGGAAAAAAAAAATAAATAAATAAATAATCAAATTTTCCTGCCAAGAAGTTCTTAACAAGATAACAAAGTAGAGATGAAATTTACCTGCTCAGCAAAGAGGGTGGGAGGGGTGATTTTGAGGGCCTCCAAGAGATCATGATATGTGGACAGATTGGGCTCATAAACAAACATGCCAGCATTGAAGTAGAGAGGGGGCTTAGGACCCATCTCGGCAGGCCACTGGACCTTATCAGGACACTGTTGGCAGTAAACAATCTTGTTCTGGGGGCTGTTGCTCCATGTTTTCTCACAGAAGCAGTCCATCACAGCATAGAAGAAACCATCAGGCATGTCAAACAGGTGGTCTATGCTGTCAAATACTTTGATGTCCCCGTCCAGATATATCATCTTGCTATACTCCACAAACTGTAATCAAAGACGAAAAGTTTATGAGCTACACATACATGAAGACTAAAACTAAGCAAATTCCTTGCACTAATCCTCAGTTTTTCATCAAAAGAAATACAAAGCACATCTAAGACATGCATACAGACCTCCCAGATACGAAGCTTGGAGTAGTTGATGACATAGTAAGCCATAGCAAACTGAGTCTGGTTCTCCGGTGGATGAACAGGCTCAATCTCCCTCACTATGCACCCTTGAGAAACAAGAATCCTGCGATGCTCCTCGGGAACATCAGGCAAGATAGCCACCACAAGTGGATACCTACTTTCGGCCTTCCTTAGCCCCTTGGCTAACCCCACAACACCCTTCCAGTAGTCTCCATCACCAGCCAAAAACGTAACATAAGCACAACTTGATATGCTAGCTTGCTTCACAAGAGTGGTGGCGTTGTTAGCGAGAGTAGTAGTGATATCAGGAGCCATGGTATCAAATTTATCAAGAAAATGAGATGAACTACAAAAGGGTCTTCGAAACGAATCGTTTGATTACTAAGAGAAAAGAGCGAAGATTTAAGGCTGTAGAAAACTATATTGCTTATAAATCTTTGAAAGTTTTGGATATGAGTGAAGTTGTTCTGCTGGGAGTGCTGGAATATATAGGGAAATTCGAGCGTGCATTTAGTCTGAAAGGAAGGTGAAAGATACAGTATGAGTCTGTTTTAAAAGCGCTTTTGAAAGGTAGGTAAATTAATAAAATGAATATATAATTATTAATAATCTTTATGGGGTTGGAGAAGCATATAGTATAAAATTTAAGAGAGTCCACGTTAATTTGGTGAGTCCATTTCTTGCTTTTAGATAAGATATTGAATTTATTTTTATTTGTTTCAATATTGAATCTTTCTTTATATCTTAATTAAAAAAACATGGCGAATCATTTGTGTCCATTTGTAAACTATCCGAGGTTTAGGATAAAATCCCGAAGATACGAACGAGAGAATCAAGGAATTTGTCGGTGCAAGATAAGCCCATTAAATATTATTTCCTTTTTCTTCATTAACCAAAATATTCATTTTATTGCACGAGATTTTGCTGAGATTTTTTCCCAATCTTGAGGTTAATATTTGCCTCAAAGGGAGCAGCTATCAAAGAAAAAGAAATCGAGAAGAATATATATATATATATATATATATATATATATGAGAGTTAAATAAGGAGAGATTAACTCCTTAAATGAAGAATATAATGAGATGGTAATAACACGAAATTAAATAACTATTAATCTCTTTCCATTGATTAAGATTGTTTCGATCTCTTAAAATCATAGCTATAAGTCTCAATCCAGTCATTTTAAATTTTGAATTTCAAAAAATAACATGATTTTAGTAAAAATAGTTGAATTATTTTACTATCTCGGATAGAATCTCACTCCTTAAACAGAAAAATACCCTTCCATCTTGTTTTTATTACCTTATTATATGAGACAATATATATATATATATATATATACAACCAAGAATATGGCAGGTGGTGAATGGAGGAGGGGGTCTGGTAGGACCCACAAACTCCACGTGGCAGGCACGAACGCCCCTATCTTTATGGGTAGTTAATGGGGACCTACTTTCTAGTTATGTTAGTTGGTCGAAATGTGGGACCCTGAGTTTGGAGTTTGGATAATATTTCTTGACTTTATTTGGTAGCAATATTAAGTTTCGATCTTGAATCAAGGAAGCCATGGACTTGATCACTGCTGGTCAAGGTTCTTGGAATATACCATTATGCTAGTGGTAGTGCTTTGTATTGTGCGAAAGATTCCGCCATCAAAAGAATCTATTTTGTATCAAATAATTTCATATAATAATAAATATTTAAATTGTGTTTTTATTTAATTTAAAAATATCTAGAATAACATATGTGAGCTTGGAAAAAAAATTCTTTTAGTTGGTTTCAGGTTTTTAGATTTATTTTTTTTGTTTTATGAGGCTAAAATTTAATTTGACAATAATTTTAAAATATTTTATATAAAAAAATATAGATACACACACACTAAGAGCTCCTCCTTTTACCATATCACAAATATTGTTTACTATTTCACGTAGCATGAGAATTAGATTAATGATTTTTTAAAAAAAATAATTTGATCTATGAATTTTTATTTTATACAATTTAAATATTTTTAGATCAAATTAGTATTCAATTATATTTTTTTTTTCTATGAGTGAAGGTTGGATTGAAAGATCAAAGATTAAAATGAAAAACTTAAATAAAATAGAGATGGATTGAAATTTAATTAAAACATTCATTTTAATTTCTTATCTTTTTAAGTTATTAGGTGATCATTTTTTTAATATTAGAAAGTTATATTTTAATTTTACATCATATATTTTAATTTTTTATTCTTTTTATGAAAAATTCTGATACAAAAATAAAAAATTATTGTAAGCAATAATTTCTGCAATCAAAACAATCTATTTTATATTAAATGATTTTATATGATGATGAAAATTTAAATTGTGTTTTTATTTAATTTGAAAATACCTAGAAAAATATATATGAGTTTGGAAAGATTTTTTTTAGTTAATTTCATATTTTTAGAATTTTTTTATGTGTTTTATGAGACTAAAATTTAATTTTAAAATATTTTACATCAAAAGTACATCCCAATAATTTTTTAGATGATAAAAAACAAGAATCCCTTTGTTTTTCCCCCATCAAATAGTGAGTCTTAGAATTTTTTTTATGTGTTTTATAAGGCTAAAATTTAATTTTAAAATATTTTACATAAAAGTACATCCAAATAATTTTTGAGATGGAAAAAAACAAGAATCCTTTGTTTTTCCCCCATCAAATAGTGAGAAGATATTAGCCACACAGCTATAAGCCTATAAACACCACACGGAAGCCCACCGCGGCTAAAGACAGCAATCCAGGATTCTACACTTGGCATATTCCTATAAGCGTGTGGTTTCCAACCAAGAGCATACCTGGAAGTGAATGCAGGAAGGACCCACAAACTCCACGTGGCAGTAAAACACGCCTATCTTCATCGGGAGCAGATGGGGGCCTTTTATTTATTATGACGAACTTTCTGGTTATGTTAGTTGGTGAAATGTGGGACATCAGGATAACCGACCTCCAGTTTCGATAATATTTGTTTACGTTTTATTTGGGAGCACCATTAATTCTCGATCTTCAATCAAGAAAATCACGGGCTTGATTTCCGCTAATTAAGATTGTCGGTTTGACTAGATTTGAGTTATTGGAATATACCATTATATTTTTTTTTAGGGTTTTCTTAATTTGAGATTATATCTATTATTATTTTTTAAAATTTATTTTTAATATAAACGCATTAAAATAATTTAAAAATAAATAAATGTATGGCGACTCTTTCTTTTGAATGCAAGGAAGGCTCCAGGATTTATAGTACAAAGACTTTTCAACGAAAGCTAAAGTTAAAATAACAAAATGTAGACCTCTTGTCCAATTCAATTAGTCGTCATCCCTGCCAAAATTTAAAAAAGAAAATCAAGTAAAAACCTAATCTTAAGTTTTGAACTCAGTGGCTGAGAACAGATGAAGTCGTTGATAAAAATAAAAGAAAAGGAAGAAAAACAGGTCCTGATTTTAATCGGCAAGCCAATTATATGTCTTGGAGATCGATTTAGTGGTTGATCCATCCACTGTCCCAGAGTCTAGAGGAAAGGGCAAAAGTCAATTATCCTACATTTGCTTGCTTGCTCGCTCATGCAAGTCTTTGTTCGAGGCTGTTGCATCTCTAGGTGGTTTGGACCTCGAAACGTATTCTTCTCAGGATTTTCAGAGAGCATCCATGCAACAGCACTCATGCACACCTTCAAGCATGTTTCCGAGGGGATCAGCTGCTGCTTGATTCGGATATTTTAAGACACTAAGGCACCGATTCTTTCATGAAAAGTTGGATTTCAGAAAATTATTTTTAAACTTTTATGTATTCCAGTACAGGCCATTTCACAGGCCCGAACACCATCTTCAAATCAGAAGATTCACCATTCACAAGGTCCTATCTCTTAAGACTAGAATGAAATGAAGAATTCAGGGTTGGAGATGGAATGATATGAAAGGAAAATGGCAGAAGTTAAAGAGCAAGTCCCATTGCTTCTTCAATACAACATAAGAAAAGATAAAGAAATGTGTATACAAAGAAGATACTTGTTCATATTATTTACTAAAGGATGGATACAAGGTCCTCGTAAACTTCCTAGAAAATTCAAAAGAGCAATATCCGAACCCAGTGAATAATACAGGGGATGTTAACCACCAAAAAGAGCTGAAAGAAAAGTTTGTTTTTCCTCTACAGTTGGACTAATTGAAACTAGTAGCTCCACAATTTACAAAGCACTAAGCGGCGGATGGGGCGGGAACATAGTGGGCAAAACCAGCCTCAGAGAGAGCCGCCAAGAATGGATGCAGTGCAGCTCCAGAAGAAGCAGCAGCAGCAACAGTATTCTTGTAGTCCAATGATTCGTCGTGGTAAATGTCCCACCATTTGTTGACCAGCATCTTGATGTCTTCTCTGTCCATGTTCTCTTCTTTTCCTGTGAACCTCCATGGCTTAGACCCCTGTAAACCAATGCACAACATTATTAGAATTGCAGAACTTAAATGTCCAGAAGGACAAGATTATTGTTAAATATGTAAAAATGGTTTTATATGAGCTTGGCGAATACTCACAGCAGCGCAATAGTGGACAACTTTCACTTTGTCAAGGTTAATGTTCTCGGGATGGCGCCATAACATGGCCAGTACAAGGTTGTAATCCGAAGGAATTGGCTTGTAAACATCCCTGAAAAACATGTTCAAGAAGTCCTGCCAAGAATGAATAAATAAATTAAACATCAAAGTTTCCAGCTAAGAAGTCCTTGACAAGATAACAAAGCAAAGATGATATTTACTTGCTCAGCAAAGAGGGTGGGGGAGGTCACTTTGACGGTCTCCAACAGATCATGATAAGTGGACAAGTTGGGCTCATAAACAAACATGCCAGCATTGAAATAGAGAGGGGGCTTAGGACCCATCTCAGCAGGCCAATGGACCTTATCAGGACACTGTTGGCAGTAACCAATCTTGTACTGAGGGCTGTTGCTCCATGTTTTCTCACAGAAACAGTCCATCACAGCGTAGAAGTAACCATCAGGCATGTCAAACAGGTGGTCTATGTTGTCAAATACTTGGATGTCCCCGTCCAGATATATCATCTTGCTATACTCCACAAACTGTAATCAAAGACGAAAAGGTTATGAGCTATATATATATGAAGACTAAAAATAAGCAAAAGAGAAATTGACAGTGATCCTCAGTTTTTTCATCAAGAGAAACACAAAGTACAACTAGCAAGTAAGTCTAAGACATGCATACAGACCTCCCAGATGCGAAGTTTGGAGTAGTTGATGACATAATAAGGCATAGCAAACCGAGTCTGGTTCTCCGGTGGATGAACAGGCTCAATCTCCCTCACTATACACCCTTGAGAGACAAGTATCATCCGATGCTCCTCGGGAACATCAGGCAAGATAGCCACCACTAAAGGATACTTGCTCTTGGCCTTCCTCAACCCCTTGGCTAACCCCACAACACCCTTCCAATAGTCTCCATCACCAGCCAAAA